CCGGTAGCGAGACCCCTGTGAAGACCCCGGTGGGAAACTGTCATGTTTGCAGTAGCCTCCGGTTAGCGAGACCCCTGTGAAGACCCCGGTGGAAACTGTCATGTTTGCAGTAGCCTCCGGTAGCGAGACCCCTGTGAAGACCCCGGTGGAAACTGTCATGTTTGCAGTAGCCTCCGGTAGCGAGACCCCTGTGAAGACCCCGGTGGAAACTGTCATGTTTGCAGTAGCCTCCGGTAGCGAGACCCCTGTGAAGACCCCGGTGGAAACTGTCATGTTTGCAGTAGCCTCCGGTAGCGAGACCCCTGTATGCCGGAAGACCCGTGCCTCTAAGCTGGCTAATGACTTGCCCTCTCCCTCAAATTACTGGTCCACTGGGTGTGGACGGGGGAATACCATGCGTGAAATCACGTTGCCTAGAAGCATGGAGGCGTACCTTCAGACATACTTGGATCACTGTTTGGGTGTCGCTCCGACAGTAAAACAGAAAGACAATGTTGTGTCGAAGATCAGCCGGATAAAGAACTTCATAGTATACATGGCCCATGGTGTTAACCGCCTGTCAGACTGGCTGTTCCTAAGAAACATGAAGATGATCCGTGGCTGGAGCGAGTATATTGTAAAGCCGGGCCGGGCAGTCACAACATCAGAGTTCTTCCTGAAGAATGTGCACCAGTTCATGGGGTACATGTCTGAGTCAAAGCCCCGGGGGTGCAAGCTCACCCAGTCTGATATGACCCACATAATGAGAGAGGTGAAAGCCAACATGAAACACTTGAATAAGGCAGTCACTCTACATCAGTTTAAGGTGAAGAGGAACAAACTGGATCGTCTGCCGAGCCAGGCGGAGCTTCTCGCCGCCATGGCGGCCGCTGAGAAGCGCATCCCGGAGCTCCTCGACCTGATGGCCGGCACGCCGACCTCAACCACCCAGAAGCTTCTCTATGGCTATCTCACCCTCCATTGGAGCCTCCTGTATGGCCACCGTACGGGCGTGTACGCAAACATGAAAAACAGTGAGGTCTTAGAGGCAGCCATAAGGGGAACTGCTGAGGGCTACATCATCCATGTGCAGGATCACAAGACGGCCAAGACATATGGCGAAGCACAGCTGGCGCTTACAGTAGAGGAGTTTAGCTGGGTCATGCGGTGGATGGGGATTAAAGAGGCATTGCTGGGTCCTCAGAATGAATTCTTCCTTTTCACAAGGGGGAATCGGGCCTCCAAGAACCTGAACGCTCACTTGAAGAGGGCATGGGCTGATGCTGGGCTAGAAACAGCCGTCACCTTCACAATCCTGCGCACTGCCCTGGCTGACAATATCAAGCATCACCAAGATCCAGAAAGCCGGTCGATTCTCGCCAGGTTTATGTGTCACGACGTAACCACGGCGGACCGGTTCTACGCGAATGCGCCAGGTATAAAGGAGGCATTGAGAATCCGCTCCATGTTCAGGGCGTCATCAGATGCGGCAGCAGCTGCATCATCATCAGAAGGATGTCTACCGCTGTCAGATGGGGAGACCTCCGAAGAGGGCTGCTATAACAGTACAGCTCTATCATCTTCACCTGATGGGTCATTGGAGCGGCAGCAGCAGCGGAAGCGGAAGCGGGAGGGAAAGAGGCCAATGAAGTCGGGACCGGGGCTGGTTGACACTCCTGATGATGGGGCAGGGGCCGTGGACTCAACCTGTTTGCCCTGGTGCACCGTAAGAATTAGACGCCTAATTTGGTCCCCTGAATCCCGCTAAACATTGTGAATATGTATACCGTGTATATAATTATTATTATAATCCTGTGTATACATTTTGTAAATAGTACAATATCTCCAGGGCGCATAACTGCACTTTACAAGCCAGGAAAGGTGCCAGAATCCTGGGCATACATTTTGTTAATAGTGCAACACCTCCAGGGCGCATAACTGCACTTTAAAACGTAGGTTAAGAAATTTAGTAGTACTGTTATAGTAGCAGTAGTACGTGTAAATAGTTTATGTTTTAGCCTCTCTGTACTGTCAACTGTGTTTTTTGTTCAAATAAAATAAAAAAAAAAAAAAAAACAATAACCTTGATGGTTACCAGGGGCAGAAAAAGTGCCACTTTCCATCAGCACCGGGGAGGCACTCTCCTTGGTGCTGAACCCTGTGATGAGCGCTCAAGTGTTGGCGGAGGAGGTGTAAGCCAGAGGAGGGTGAACAAAAGTTAAAGTGTTTGAACCTCCAGCCCAGAAGGGGGGGTGATGCCGTGAAGAAAGCCGAATATGGATGCTGATGGGCGGACACAGAAGCACCATAAAACCACCCCCTTGTAAGGTCACCAGGGGCACGAGAATACCCTCCAGCCCAGAAGGGGGGGTGATGCCGTGAAGAAGGCCGAATATGGATGCTGATGGGCGGACACAGAAGCACCATAAAACCACCCCCTTGTAAGGTCACCAGGGGCACGAGAATACCCTCCACAGAAGGGGGGGGTGATGCCGTGAAGAAGGCCCGAATATGGATGCTGATGGGCGGACACAGAAGCACCATAAAACCACCCCCTTGTAAGGTCACCAGGGGCACGAGGTTCTGGTGGGTGTGAATACCTGTGTTTAGTCCGTGGGGGAGTGCTTAACTGTGGGGGCCCGGGGACTCAGGGTGTGCAAGGTTATGGAGGTCCCACTGTTAGGGGCCCATGCTGGAGGTAATTAGTCCGTCCTTGGGGCTCTGTGAGCGGGCAAAAAGAGGTGATTTCCCCCTGGTCTCTGCTGGAGGTGCAGAGTCCCACTGTTAGGGGCCCATGCTGGAGGTAATTAGTCCGTCCTTCGGGGCTCTGTGAGCGGGCAATGAGAGGTGATTTTCCCGGTCTCCGCCCTGGAGGTGTGAAATAAACAGAGTCCCCCTGTTAGGGACTGGTGCTGGAGGTCTCTAGTCCGTCCTTCGGTGCTCTGTGAGCGGGCAAAAAGAGGTGATTTCCCCCTGGTCTCTGCTGGAGGTGCAGAGTCCCACTGTTAGGGGCCCATGCTGGAGGTAATTAGTCCGTCCTTGGGGCTCTGTGAGCGGGCAGAGAGAGGTGATTTCCCCCTGGTCTCTGCTGGAGCTGTGAAAGAAACAGAGTCCCACTGTTATGGGGACATGCTGGAGGTAATTAGTCCGTCCTTGGGGCTCTGTGAGGGGGCAGAGAGAGGTGATTTTCCCCTGGTCTCTGCTGGAGCTGTGAAAGAAACAGAGTCCCACTGTTATGGGGACATGCTGGAGGTAATTAGTCCGTCCTTGGGGCTCTGTGAGGGGGCAGAGAGAGGTGATTTCCCCCTGGTCTCTGCTGGAGGTGCAGAGTCCCACTGTTAGGGGCCCATGCTGGAGGTAATTAGTCCGTCCTTGGGGCTCTGTGAGCGGGCAGAGAGAGGTGATTTTCCCGGTCTCCGCCCTGGAGGTGTGAAATAAACAGAGTCCCCCTGTTAGGGACTGGTGCTGGAGGTCTCTAGTCCGTCCTTCGGTGCTCTGTGAGCGGGCAAAAAGAGGTGATTTCCCCCTGGTCTCTGCTGGAGGTGCAGAGTCCCACTGTTAGGGGCCCATGCTGGAGGTAATTAGTCCGTCCTTGGGGCTCTGTGAGGGGGCAGAGAGAGGTGATTTTCCCCTGGTCTCTGCTGGAGCTGTGAAAGAAACAGAGTCCCACTGTTATGGGGACATGCTGGAGGTAATTAGTCCGTCCTTGGGGCTCTGTGAGGGGGCAGAGAGAGGTGATTTCCCCCTGGTCTCTCCTGGAGGTGTGAAATAAACAGAGTGCTACATTTTGTAAATAGTGCAATATCTCCAGGGCGCATAACTGCACTTTACAAGCCAGAAATAATGTTTAAATGGTCGGGGAAAGTATTTTTAAATGTCTGGAAGAGAGTTTTAGACAGTCATTTTGCACGAAATCATTTAACATAGACGCTCTCCTGAAAATGCACAGAATATGTGCTTTTTCAGGAGACCGTCAATGTTAAATGATTTCGTGCAAAATGACTGGCTAAAACCTCGGAATAAGTGTTTGAAAAGCGGGGAAAAGTTGTTTAAAATAGTCTGATACCTCCAGGGCGCATCACCAAAAATGTACAAGCCAGGGAAGATGCCTGAATCCCGGATACTTTAGGTCTGTCACTTAGGGTGACCGCACCACTCCGACGCTCCCGAGAGTGGACGTCCATTGTTTGTAAGGCACCTAAGAGGGAGGAGCCAGGCATGGAGGGAGGTGGCAGAGACAGTGGTAGGTTTTCGCCTGTTTTGGGGAGTTTATATCCAGTTTACTTCGGGCTTTTTTGCTTCGTATGTCGCGGGCGGGAGATTCATGTGATTGGTTGCTCGCAAAAAATCCTCAAGCTTCAGATACGTCCACCTCCAAGATTTTTTTAACGCTGCTGTGGAGACGGCCCGTCAGTCTGGCCGTTCCCGGCGACTTGATGGAGTGATGGCTATGGGTTCACCCCCAAGGTAGAGGACTAGAAACAGGCTGTCCTCTAAGGTGGATCGGTTAACTGCCGTCATGGAGCAGACAAAGTCGCTCCTGTTAGCCCTTCAGCCAGGGGCCAGTGTGGGGGCTACTAGCTTGCCGCCTGGCCCTCCTTCGAGACTCTCGGGGCCGGTCGTCGGCTGCTTTCTCAGCAGCAGATCAGTTACTGGGCTGTCTGCACTTCCGGCCCTTGGGTGGTTTTCACCTTAACCCAGGGGTACGAACCGTAGTTCCGGCCCCTAGCTCTCGGCCGGGCCAAAATGACAGTCGTCAGCGATCCGGCAGAGGCCCGAGCTCTGGCCCAAGAGTTGTCCGTCCTTCTGGCCAAGGACGCAATCGAGCCAGTAGACCCTCTGCTCAGCCCAGGGGGTTCTACTCGGCATACTTTCTCGTGAGCAAGGAAGTCGGCCGATTTCGCCTGATCTTGGACCTCAGAGGAATCAACAGATTCCTGAAGGTGCTGCCATTCCATATGCTGACCATAGCACATGCACAGGGGGAGTGGTTCGCATCCGTGGACTTGAGGGATGCTTACTTCCACGTAGGCCGGGCAAGATGGTGCCTTCCGGCCCTTGGGCAGACTGACGGCTGCCTCTGCCGTTGGGCCCTTAGGCCCGCTGTCGTTGCGCCCCATGCAGATGTGGCTGAACAGCCTTCACTTGGACACCAAGTGGCACAGGCACAGGAAAGTCAGGGTGTCGCAGCGTTGCCTCCACTCTCTGTCACGCTGGAGGGGCAGGGCCTATCTCCTGATGGGCGTGCCCATGGGCGCCATCCCATCCCGCCAGGAGAACCGTCACCATAGGTGCATGTCTCTCAGGGTGGGGTGCAGTGCGGCAGGGCAGGGCAGGACCGTTCAGGGTCAGTGGTCTGCCCAGGAGGGTGCACGACATGTCAACGTGCTAGAGCTTCGGGCTGTGCAGCTTGCACTCACGCACTTTCTACCCTAACTGGGGGGCAAGCATGTGCGTGTTCCTTGGGACAGCATGTACACTGTTGCCCCGACAGCAGTCCCTTCTAGATAGTGGACGTTCTCACTCCACTCTGAGAGTTTATGTGGCTGCTATTTCTGCCCGACATGTTCGGGTCGGCGGCGCCACGGCGGGGTGCCACAGCTCGGTGTCCCTCTTCCTGATAGGGGCTTTACGGCAGCGTCCCCCTAGCACCCCGAGCGCTCCGGCTTGGGACCTGCCCCTGCTGCTGGATGCCCTATCATCTCCTCCCTTCGAGCCCCTGGCCAGGTGGGGCTTAGGTGGCTGCCCACGAAGGCAGCATTTCTGATTGCCATAGCCCCAGGGAAACGAGTTGGGGAGTTGCATCTCCTCTCCGTAAGCGATACATGCCCGAGGTGGGACTCTAAGGTGTTGCCCTTTGGGCAAATGTGGCATTCCTGCCCAGGGTGCTTCAACAAACCCACTTCAATCAGCCTGCCCAGCTGGCACGCTTTGACATTCAGGAGAACGGCACGTCGAAGTTGCTGTGCCCTGTGGGAGCCCAAAGGGCGTATATCGAGGCTACTGCCTGTATACGGCAGTCGGAGCAGCTCTTCGTTTGCCATGGCGGCACTAAAGGAGGTTGTGCCCTCTAACCAGCGGCTGCCCCACTGGATTGTCGATACCATGCCTACGGGGCCAGTGACCGCCCCTGCCATCAGGGCTGAGATGCCACTCTACAAGGAGCATCTCAACATCTTGGGCTGCCCTGAGAGTGGTGCCCCTGGAGACCATCTGCGCCATGGCGTCGTGGGTGTCTTCTGGCACATTCTCCAGTTTTTATCGGGTTAATATCGCCACTCCCCATTCTTTGGGCGTGATCCTTTTGCCGAGCCCCGCTGCTTCCAGTCGTGAGCAAGGGCTTGGATTCTTCATGACATGGTTGGTATAAGTCATCCAGTGCTAAAGCACCGCCTATGGCGGTCAGTAGGGACGAAATAGAACAATAGTTACGGCTGTATGAGTCCCGGATGACCGCCAGAGTTTCCTGTCACTCAGAATTCTTGTGTGCTCGCGAGAAGATTCTGGGAACAGATCCTCTGATGACGCCGGCCTATGTAGCCGGTGTGACGTGGGTCACAGGTGACTTTGTTGTTATTGGTACTCGAACTGAGCATGCGTGCGATGGATATATCTAGTGCTAAAGCACCGCCTCTGGCAGCCGTAACTATCGTTTGTTGTGCTGTGCAGATCCTCTGAACCAGTGAAGGCTTTTCAGCAGCACCTTTATAGTTTTCATAAGTTGCCCCTTTAACAGAGGTTGTTTTACCAGGCCTGAACAAGGAAAAATCATTGTTTTTAGAGTCTGGTTTGTAACCAAAAGCATCTACATAGAATAGAATAGAATCGTTTAATGTCATTATACATGTACAATTAGATAAATAAATGCTTCTCCCTTTCAAAAGGTGCCATCAAAACAAAAAACATCACAAGATAAGAAAACAAATACACGCAGCATACATACTTAGGAATAAGGAATAAAGTGCAGTAATTATTTCCAGGGGTATAAAAATAAAATCTATAATGTAATAAATAATAATAGTAGGTATGTATTTATAATAATAATAATAATAATGATATATATGTATATATATATACAGAGTCACATTTATTTCACATGCAGGATGATTAAGAGCAATGATGGCTCTTGGGAAAAAACTGTCTTTGAGTCTGTTTGTTTTGGACTTAATACACCTGTAGCGCCTGCCGGAGGGCAGCAGGTTGAACAGGTGAAAGCCGGGGTGTGAATTGTCCTTAACAATGTTTTTGGCTCTACTGAGGCAGCGGGAGGTGTAAATGTCCATCAGGGAGGGGAGAAGGCAGCCGATGATCCTCTGTGCTGCTTTTACAACTCTCTGGAGCCTCATCCTGTCTGCCTCAGTGCAGCTGGCGTACCACACTGTGATGCAGTATGTTAATAGGCTCTCGATGGTAGAGCGGTAGAAGGTCACCAGCAGCTTAGTGGCCAAGTTGTTCTTCCTGAGCACCCTCAGGAAGTGCAGACGCTGCTGGGCCTTCTTGATGACAGCTGTGGTGTTGTCCTTCCAGGAAAGGTTGTTGGTGATGAGGACACCGAGGAACTTGAAGGTGTGGACCCTCTCCACACACTCGCCGTAAATGTAGAGGGGAGCGAGGTCGGTAGTATTCCTCCTGAAGTCTACGATGATGTCTTTGGTTTTTGTGGGGTTCAGTGCCAGGTTGTTCACTGAACACCACGCTGAGAGCTTCAGTACCTCACTCCTGTAGGCCGACTCGTCTCCTCCTGAGATAAGCCCCACCACAGTGGTGTCGTCAGCAAACTTGACGATGATGTTCTCTGGGTGGGCTGGACTGCAGTCGTGGGTGTAGAGCGAGTACAGGAGAGGGCTCAGCACACAGCCCTAAGGAGAGAGTGCGGGTGGAGGAGTGATGGGGGCCAAGTCTCACACGCTGGGGGCGGTTAGTGAGGAAATCTTTGATCCAGGAAGAGGTGGGTGGGGGAGGGCCTATAGGTTTGATAGTTTGCAAACTAGAATGTCCGGGATGATTGTGTTGAACGCTGAGCTGTAGTCAATAAAGAGCAATCTGACGTAGCTCCCACGATGCTCCAGGTGGCTCAGTGAAGAGTGGAGAGCTATGGCTATGGCGTCTTCAGTGGATCTATGGGGCTGTATAAGATATCATCAGTATCCCTACACTTACCCACTGCAAGGTGTGAGCTGGGGTTTGCTGTGGTAGCTGTTCTGTGGCTTAGGAGCCACAAAATGCAGAGGGAACAGCATCAACATCCCCTCCCGACTGCAGGGCCAAAGGCTCACTGTCTGCCAGTTTCACACACTGAGGTAAGATAGATGCAACACCTCTCATTTGATCTATTCCCAAACTCCTTTGTTTCTCTGTTACAGTCTCTTCTTCTTTCAACACACCTCTCTCTAAACATAGTTCTTTACTTATCACAATTTTGGGAACATTAACCTGTTAAGCCCGAGAGACCCCGGTACCGGGGCACTGCCGCAACGTCTTGCAGGAAACAGTGTCTGAGGGCATGTTCATTTAATAAACTATGAATGTTTTATATCCATGTAACGGGAAGAAACTCATCTAACTGATCATTTTTATTTATTTTTCAGCGAAAAATGCTAACAGATTACTGCACCGAAAATCACTCACAAAACCTTATTATTTATCTTTTCTCCACATCCATGACATCGATTCACATCGTGAGGTGAAACAGAATCGATGGGTACCCTCATTATCACTGAATTATACGAATTTGCGACGTTATAAACAAAAACAGACATCAAAACAGGTGACGCTAGGTAGCTAAAAATGCTAACATTCTTACCTTGGCTCTGTAGTCTCTCCAAAGTGGTCTTCAATGGCATTAAAACGATAAAAACGCTGCTGAAGTTAATCCATAGCTTAATCCAATGTGTCTGTGTCCCTTTGAAATGATTTCTGATAATCCATGAGCAATAAAACAGATAATCCATGCTATTCCGTTTCTAGATGTCAGAGCTAGAATGTAGCTTCACTCTAATGCAAAATTACATGCGCAAAGCCCCCACCTTTTTTTTTCACAATGAGTGTGTGTGGGGGACTCCCCCTTCGATTATATTGGCTCTAACAGTCAGAAAGAGGTGTCAACCATCAAAATCGAGCAAGGGGGGCCAGAGATATGGAAAATCCACCCAAATGACGACAGAAGTGTTTTTTTTGTTGCTAAATCTCTCTAAAAAGGTCAAATGTCACTTGTTTTGCATCAATCTTGATACAGGGTACTTATTATATGTTGTACTTTGGATTCCTAAAGCTTTTAGTCTACCTTACCATCATCCAAGGGTAGTCTTACACTATAATTTACAGTTTTTTACTATGTAAAATCTGAATTTTCTTTAAAATAAAAAACATCTATATTGATTATGACTTTTCTATATTCAACTCACATGTTTATCATTACTTTGAGAAAAAAGATTATTAATTTAACCCTTTTAGAAGGGAAGATATGGTCATTTGTTCTGGGAATGTCATTTTCGAGCCTGAGTCCTGAAAAACAGGCTCAGGGCTTAACAGGTTAAAAACAACTGGAGAAACCAGGCTAAATAAGGAACAAATAAGCAGCCAGGCAGGAGCTCCGGCAAGGACAAATTGTAGTGTACATAATGACCCCATAAAGGGCCATAAATATTTGGTTTGACCAATCACAACGAAAAACAATTGCATAGGTGAAGACTACGGACAGCTTGTGTGAAATGTGTTTGGAGATTGACTATTAATAATGTGATTAATTATTAAATTAATTTCAAACAATAGTATTGAAAGGTTTTGAAGTGTCTATTACTAAGACTGGAACAATTCCAGGTTACTTTTGAGAATATACATTAAAGGATGATACAAAATGTACTTAATGAAATTCCATTTGAACAATTCCATTTTATTTTGAATTGTTGCCTTTTAAGACTCAGATGATTCAGAAACATCAGATGTATTTTAGACCAAACAAACCCAGACCCAACACTTACAGTACTGGTAGCTACATCATATTGTAAAGCTAATGTGCATGTTATAATGGTGCGTATGCTTATGGCTGATTCACAGCTGAGCATTGTATGTGTTTCAGTTGGTGTGCTGTGTCCCAAAAGATGCAATCTTTGAAAATGGTTACATTTAAAATATAATAATAAGAATATTCAAAAACAAATGATGAACTTGTTGAAGGATTTGTGGACTATGGGATGTTGTATTTTCCTCTTTGGCAATAATATTATAGCAATTCAGCCAGCTTTTCTTACGATTATGCAGTATTTAATATTTTTTGGAAATGTTTATCAAGTACCACAAGTCTGAATGTTGACTTTATTTATTCACTTTATTTTATATTTTCAGTAACTGATCAAAATGTATTGTAAAATAGGGTATTATTAGTAAATTCACAAAATTACATTACAATTAGTAAAATATTGAGCATAAAAGAAACTCCAATATGAATATTTAAATCAACAAGAAAAGCATATTTGAATGTACGAAGTATAGGCTTTATAAAGCCATCTACATTTTTTACAAACCCCTGCTCATTAAATGTTTCTTGGTGTTTTTCTCTGGCTTAAATAAAATAATAAAACATTTTGGAGCGAATATACACGTAATTAGTCCAAAACTGGAGGCCAGAATGGCAAATATCTCCACAGCCACCGTATATTTCCCAGGAGAGCTGACATATGCTGGGATAAATGTGATCCAGACTGCACAGAATATCAACATGCTGAATGTGATAAGCTTGGCTTCATTAAAGTTATTAGGTAGTTTCCGAGCTAGGACAGCTAACACAAAGCAAAAGACAGCCAGTAAGCCTATATACCCAAGTACAGCCCAGAAGCCCAAAGCTGATCCTAATGCGCACTCCAGGATGATTCTCTCCTTGTATGTCGTGAGGTTTTTCATTGGAAAGGGGGGACTAAGAACTAACCAAATAGTACATATCAAAACTTGAATAAATGTGAAAGACACTGCAGTCAATCTTTGCTGTGAAGGCCCAAACCATTTCATCAAATTACTACCTGGTAGTGTAGCTCTGAAGGCCGTCAGAACTACTATAGTTTTTCCAAGAACACAAGACATGCAGAGGACGAATGTGATCCCAAACGCTGTGTGGCGCAGCATGCAGGACCATTCCGAGGGTGCTCCAATGAACGTTAATGAACATAAGAAACATAGAGTCAGGGAGAAGAGCAGCAAGAAGCTCAGCTCAGAGTTGTTGGCCCTGACAATTGGTGAGCTCCTGTGACGATAGAACACAGCCGCTGTTATAATGGCGAGACAGGCACCACCGATTGAAAAAGCAGCCAAGACAATTCCAAGGGGCTCGTTGAAGGAAAGAAACTCTACAGGTTTGGGAAGACATGTATCTCTCTCTGCATTAGGCCAAAATGCCTTGGGGCAAGGGAAACAATCAAAGGAATCTGAAAAAAGAAAGAAAAAGAGCTTTAAGCAGTTGGAATTTATATTTTATGTCGTAGATATACATTAGAAAAACAAATACCTGTAGCATTGCTAATCTCTCCCTCGGGACACGGTGTACAGTCATAACAGCAGATGGGTTTTCCTTTCTGAAGCACTTTACGAGTTCCTGAAGGACAGCTGTCAGTGCACACTGACACAGGCACCTGTCACATATATACAAATTAACTCACATGTAGACAGGTGTGCTCTGAAGCTAAAATTATAAAAGGATAGATTCATGTTTTTTTCTTCACAATGTTTTTGTTTGTGTCTTTTACATTTCTGTTTAGTTAAAAAAAAAACAAGTAAGTAAACATGTATTTTAAACAATAAAACGTAAATGTCATGTTAAAAATACTCTCTCATTATTCGTAACATTGGAATTCTAATGAGGTACCGAGGTATGAGACATCATACCCTTTGAGATGATACCAAAATGTGATATGTTAAATAATTGCTTTGGGGCTCCTCACCTGTGTGCCACTCTCCACCCAGGTGAGGTTCCTGTTGATAAGGAACTCCTGGCCCACCGGCAGTGATGAATCGTATCGCCCCACAGTCACCAACTCAATGCTGCCACTCTCATTTCTTTGCCAGTTTACCAGCTCATATGTGGCCACAGGATCCCCGTTGGCATCAAATGACACATCATAACCATTTTGGGAAAAATTAACTTTTTTCAGCTGATTAAGAACCTAGGGATGAAGTAAAGGAAGACAGTGAAGGGGATAAAAGAAATAATTTAAAATCAAATGAGCATTCATTTGATAACATAGACGTGCAGCTTAAAAAGAACATCATTATTTTTACTGACCTCTTTGGCCTCTAGCTTAGTGAACTTATCACACTGTGTAGTAGAATCAGTTTTTTGACACACTGCGTTATGAATGGCATGCGCTATTGCATAGACAGCCTTGTACACCATGTTAGTGACTCGAAGTTGAGATGTGTCAGTGTATGAGCTCTGGAGCGTCTTTATATCTTCAGTTCCATCACACACACTCCTGTCCGTGGCTTCACCTAAAAACACAGAGACAGAGGAAGGTGTTTTTAGCCAAGACGATTACATTCATTCATTCTTATGTGTGTATTGTGTTATTTAACCTGCCAAGCAAGCATTGCAGGATTTACATCACATTTCAAATCACTGTTTTGTGGACATGTCTTTCTGTTTTTTACGTTATTATTTTATTTTAGCAGCTCATATTTACACAAATCAGTCATCAGACAAATACTTATTGTATAAGGCAAAATATGTATTCCTTTAATTTAATACTGACTTGCCCTGTTATAATGATGCATGATGGACACTAGAACCAGCAGTACAGGATCATCAGAGAACCTTATCACACTAGAAATACACTTTCTGCCCTCTGCTGTCTGGTAGACGGTAACACACTAACAGGCCTAGACAGCTTGATTCAACACGCAATAAGACTGCTGAACTCTTGAAGTCAGGACTTTGATACTGTCCCTCTACATTTAAATACTTGTACTTACTCTTTAACTCACCTACAATATGTATGTACATATACCGTATGTAAGTCGCTTTGGATAAAAGCGTCTAACAAGTAACATGTAATGTAATGTAATACCGTGTATATATTACTTCTCATGAAGCATACATTTACTACATTCCTTTTTAAAGTTCATCTTCTTTATTTTACAATGACTGTAACATGTCAACAAATATATTCCACAATTTATATATATATTTTGGACATCTATTTTAACTCTGCACTATATGTTTTGGATAAACATATTCTAGAGCGTGATTTTTTTTTTCAGCATTTATTTTATGACCATTTTTGAAGGGAGACTTTCCTTAAATTGTTGTGCATTGAGGAATAAATAGCTTTCATCTATACAAATAAACAGTCTGTAATCAATGCATAATAGCCTAAGTAGAATAATGTACATTTATGTTGTTTACAATATATTAGACAGCATTGTTAATAAACATGACCTGAACATCACATTGTGAGATCATTCACCGAGATGCAACTTATGTCCGCCTCATGTATTTCATTAAAAATATTAGATTTCCCTTTCAGTCAAAATCTGGGGTTTGGTCTTTAACAGGCTGATCAATTCAGGGAGCTTCACTTAGACAGAACATTTAAAAAACGAATACAATCAAGACACTACAGTGAGTGTCATGTATGTTTAAAATTGGCACAACTTTCTCACTTTTTACCAGCCTGCAGTTGAATGCTTCCTCCCAGAACATGGTAAGTAATGCGGAGTCAGCTACTTTAGAGGGAGAGAGATCCAGCAGGAAGTCCCTCAGACCTGGGATGACAGATTTTTCAATGCCAAATCCGATGGCTCCAGCAAGGAAGCTGAACCTCAGCATGTCTGGGTCAGTTACCCAGGACTCACTACCTATCCACTGGCGAGGTGGGGAAGGCTTGCGTGACAGCTCCTCCAGCAGAATCTTCATATCGGCAGTGGAAATAAATGCCACAACAACCTTAGCTGTTGACCTGGAGGGACGTTCAATGACATATACAAATAATAGTTATAATATAAGACTAATATTGTCTTTTCTAACAATATTGTCATAAGTATGAAGAAAAACAAAACATGAGAGATGATAAACAGATATATTGGCACATTTCCTGTTGTAGTAAAAACATGTTCCATCACTTTTAGAACTTGTTTTGGTTTTTCTGTGCAGAAGGTCAGTTTCAGCACAGTGAACTAAAGGAAAATCAGTGATATAGAAACCTGCGGATAACGTCAGCTACTCTCTGGATCCGGCTACGTGGGTGGGTCCGATAGAAAGACTCAGAGTATTCCACACAGATCCCCTCTTTACGTGCTGCATGCAGGAACGATGCCATACCATTGTTGCCATAGTCAGAATCCGACCAAACAGCACCTATCCAAGTCCAGCCAAAGTGTTTGACCAGCTTGGCCAGCGCGTCAGCCTGGAATTGATCACTCGGGATTGTTCTGAAGAAACTCGGGTACTGCTGCTTATCAGACAGGCATGCACACGTGGCAAAGTGGCTCACCTAAAGAAAACAACAGTTATTTAACGGGACAGAGGCAAAACAAGTAATGGACTCAAACACAGTTTGCAATGCATTCTTAATATTTACTTGAGGTATGTTGAAGGGCCCGATGATGCGCGACACACTGATGGAAGGCGTGGACTCAGACGCACCAACGACGCCCATCACCATACCAGACTGCGAGCATTTGTCGCCGGTGTTAAACCCCCGGTCCATTCCCCCTGAAAGCTGAAATGCAACATGCACCGCCACGGACACCGAGGCACATGAGTCATAGATCTCATAACCAAGCTTGATCCCCGGAAGCAGCTCCGTGCTGTTGTTAATCTGCTCGATGGCGAATACCATTGCACGTGAGAAGCGCAGTCCACGGGAGTCGATGCTGCACACAGACATCGGTGTTAATGTTAAAACTTTAAGATTTAAAAATAATACGTGATAGACTACAAGATGACTGAAATTCAAATATATGGTCTGGATAATAACGAATAGCATCTCTGTAGGCTTTACAGGAATTTCATCTGTCAAAAACCCAAACACATGATTAGATATATATCCAATATTCACAATAACTTTGCTGAATTTATTCAATGGTCCAATAAATCATAAGTTTCACATTTCTCCATTCAACAAATGGTTAAATATGTATACATCAGTTAAACTATTGCCTTTTATGAAATAGAAAAAATAAATCCACATTATGTAAAAAACAAAAATATTTATAAATGATTATTATTTTTACAGTTTTTACATACAGTACAACACAGTACATTGCAACACAAATTCACAATATACACATCAATATACTGTATATGCCCACATTCTAGCCAAAATCTCCCTGTACTAACCTCCCTGCGCAGCTTAGTGGCTCGGGCATGGTGGTGTAGTTATGCTTCCCAGTGTGCATGTTGGAGTGCATGGAGAAAACACCCCCAATGACATAGTCACCGTCCATAGAGAATGCAGGTTGACGAGTGATACCTTGTAGCTTACATGTCACAGATGAAGCATTAGTGCTAAGCACAGCAGCAGTCCTATCCCCTGTAAGCCCAGCCGCTTGTTTCACACCATCCCAAAAACTATTCAAAACAAGAACTGACTTCAGCTCACACAAACCTATAGACAGTATCAGACCAATAAGAGACATCTCCATCATCAACTGTCGCCAAGTGGGCAAACTGTACTGTGTGTTCTCACTGTTTTATAACGTTTTTCAGACGCTTCCCTCCTTCTACCATACGTCACTTTGCTATTAGAGAGAGAGCATGCCCATGCCCAGCGCTGACAAGATGTATTTCTTTTATTCTGTATTTTATATGTAACTTTTCTTCAAATAATCATCATAAACAAAGTCATGCTGTTTGGATGGATGCCCAAATACCCTGATCTAAAGCCATCACAGCAGAACTTCCCCTGACAAGCCAGACATGTCCTTAAATGGCCAATATACTGTACATGTTTTACGTTTTTCTAGGATCAGTATATGATTTTCAGAAAAGGAGGTGGGTGGATGATTAGAAATAATCATGTTTTGCTCATTGTTCCCCATCTTTTTAAGCTTTATGGTTTTTGTTTCTTTTTAAAGCAAAAATCTTGGCTGAGATTATTGTGACTATTGCTTAGTGGTTTCAGAACAACGCTGTTTGTTGTGCTGTGCAGATCCTATGAACCAGTGAAGGCTTTTCAGCAGCACCTTTATAGTTTTCATCAGTTGCCCCTTTAACAGAGGTTGTTTTACCTAAAACAGGCCTGAACAAGGACAAATTATTGTTTTTAGAGTCTGATTTGTAACCAAAAACATCAATAGGGGACCTGTATAAGATATCATCAGTATCCTCACACTTACCCACTAGGTGTGAGCTGGGGTTTGCCGTGGTAGCTGTTCTGCGGCTTAGGAGCCACAAAATGCTGAGGGAACAGCCCTCCAATCACAACATCCCCTCCCGACTGCAGGGCCAAAGGCTCACTGTCTGCCAGTTTCACACACTGAGGTAAGATAGATGCAACACCTCTCACTTGATCTACAGTATTCCCAAAATCCTTTGTTTCTCCGCTACAGTCTCTTCTTAATTCGACACACCTCTCTTAACATAGTTATTTGCTTCCCATCACACTTTTGGGAACATTAAAAACAACTGGAGAAACCAGGCTAAATAAGGAACAAATAAGCAGCCAGGCAGGACCTCCGGCAAGGGCAAATGGTAGTGTACATACTGACCCCAAGGCCATTAAATATTTGGTTTAACCAATCACAACGAAAAACAATTGCATAGGTGAAGACTACGGACGGCTCATGTGAAATGTGTTTGGAGATTGACTAATAATGTGATTAATTATTAAATTCATTTCAAACAATAGTATTAAAAGGTTTTTAAGTGTCTATTACTAAGACTGGAACAATTCCAGGTTACTTTTGAGAATATACATTAAAGGATGATACAAAATGTACTTAATGAAATTCCATTTGAACAATTGCATTTTATTTTAATTGTTGCCTTTTAAGACTCAGATGATTCAGAAACATCAGATTTATTTTAGAACCAAACAAACCCAGACCTACCACCTACGGGTGGCTACATCATATTGTAAAGCTAATGTGCATTTTATAATGGTGCGTATGCTTATGTGTCCCAAAAGATGCAATCTATGAAAATTGTTATATTTTAAATATAATAATAAGAATATTCAAAACACATTTTAAGAACTTGTTGAAGGATTTGTGGACTATGGGATGTTGTATTTTCCTCTTTGGCAATAATGTTATAGCAATTCAGCCAGCTTTTCTTATGATTATGCAGTGTTTAATATTTTTTTGGAAATGTTTATCAAGTACCACAATGTTGACTTTATTTATTCACTTTATTTTATTTTTTCAGTAACTGATCAAAATGTATTGTAAAATGATGGGATTAGTTTTGTATCATAAAGATAAAGCAACACTGTCTCAGAATAAAGCAAAACTATGAGTTTAAAAGAAAAAAAAACTGAGTCAAGCAAAATAAAATAAACTTCAAAAATAAAACTATAAATTGCAAACAAATCACTTGTGTAATCATGTAAACTATAAGTCTTTTTTCTTTGTTTTAACATAGGTTTTTGTTTGCAGTTCTTGTTTCTTCTTTCTCAATGATCAGACTTTTGCTCTCGCTGCAGCTCTTCTCGTTTGTGCTCCCTCATTTTTTGTTTTCGATTTTGACACAAACATCCCAGGTGGGTGGGACTTTCAGGGGTGTGTCCCCATTGGCTACTCAGTTTTTGAGTGACAGCCCACTACACCACAGATCAGACAGTGCAACTCATGCAGCAAACTCCGGAGTCCACTCGGCCACGTTTGTGTTGGTGCCTCCTGGGGAGTTTTCATGAACATATCGGACTTATCTTATGGATTGCTGTGCATTATACTTGTGTTGTGTAGTTTATACTTTATTCCAACTTTAAATATTTTAATACCTGAACACACTGCTGCTGTTAAATAATTTCCCAATTTGGGATTGATAAAGTGTCTGTCTGTCTATTTATTTATTTTATAGATAAAGAAAACACATCTATGTATTTTCAAGCTAAAGGTGATACACAATATAAACTGTATACTGTTATTTATTCAAAGACATGTTACATTTCAAAAGCATATATTGCTATGTTTAGGACAAACAATTAAAGACTGCTTTAATTTAACAAATTCTACAATATAAAAGTGGCAGATTTGCTTTATTAAACAGACCAGACCTAGGTAGCATACCAACACAATTAGGAACATGCTCACATCTCACAATGTTGGTCTGAAGAGCTGAAGCATTCATACACAAAGGATAAAATTGGTGTCGTCTCATTCTATATCCTATGAGAAAATGCTATACATTTAGCATTAAAAACTCGACATACTATTCCTGAGGAAGATATGAATAATCAACAGGTTTGAATGGAATCTCTAACATTTTCATGTAGAATAAAGACATAAGAGTGATTATACAAATTACATTTATTGAAATTTGAACCAGAAGATTAAGTCTCAAAGAATGTTTTAAATAAAAGGACATAAAACAAAAAGGTGGATAATAATAAAATCTATTAAATGTATATGTAAAGACATTTGGTCAAATGAAATGACACTGAGCAAGTGATAACAGCAACGCCCAGCGTGAATGAAGATGGTGCAGGTCTTTCTTCATGCCCCCCCTCCGTGCTGTCCCCTCAGAGGAAGTGGGAAAACGGGATAAGACCTCCGGACACCACGCTGTCTCAATGATCCACACTGTTAATATGAGAGGAAAATAAATGTTTTAGGAAATGAAAAATATGAAGTTAACAAATAAAACACAGCTCAGGGGCAGTCATGGACGGTAGGTTTTCCTACAAAGTTAACTCAGCCTCCATTGATTTTCATATCAGATTAGCGTGTTAATAAAATAAGCTATCATGGCTTATACTGTACTTGCATATCTAAACAGAATCATGAAAGCCTGTTGGTAGTCAGGCACACAAGTCCGTTTGAGTGTGTGCGCCGGTGTCTGAACGCTCACTCACTGCTAGCTATGTAGCTAACTGTTAGGCTACTTAGCTTGCATTGTTATGGATCTAAAGGTAGCAAAAGCTAACTTTCATAGCACAGCTTTACTTCTCACTTAACACAATAAAGAAACAGACCGTATAGTACAGCACAAACAACACAAATGATCAATACTTACATATATTTTCACTTGTAGTATTATAATAATTGAAATGCTGGTTCTTCTGGGGGTGTTCTATAGAGTGGCGAAGTCCCTCCCCTTCCGGTGGACCTCCATGGGACCTTATTTCGGAAAAATTATGTATTGAAGTCAATGGAGAGAGAAAGATTATCTTTCGATCCCGTTTGAATTGTGCCACGAATTACACATATGATGTTTGTCAATTTAAAAGATAATTTTGCAAGTCAAAAAAAAAAATGTGTCGTAAAACTGTGAAGTAACACATTTGTTTGTGTGAAACGCTCAATGAACTACATCTCTGGTCAACAACACACGTCACCAAGATGGCCGTCACTACTGTCTTGTCAACAAAACGATTGACTACCCTCACTATCACCACAATGAAACACGTCCTGAAGAATGTCATGCAAAGCTGCCTGCCTGCCTTCCTTTGATTCTCTCTGAACTGCCTGGTCGTTTTAATGTTTAATGTCAACCATTTGTGCAGATAGCATGAAGTAGAAAAGATCGCTAGCGTTAGCGTTAGCATTTCTCCCCCGGGCTTAAATTGTGTATTATAGAATGACCACACCGGTGACAGTACTCTTCAAAGGGTTCACGAAATATGACTACTACTCTTACTGTTTAACATTTTGGGTTACTTAATGTTACTTCATGTTAAGGCTAATAAAAATGACAAGGCTGTAATGCTAACTAACGTGCTAGCTACTAGCTAGGTAGCTAACTTGATCAAGCCACTCCTGGTCCTTTCATCAGACGGGAAGCAAAAGAACGAGCAAGACCCATTGCTGGTATGATAACAACCTGGTACTAAGCACACAGGCATCTTGTTAAAGTTATCTTATCTTAGCCAGCGCCATATAGATAGATTCTATCTATATGGCGTTATCTTATCTTAGCTATCTCTATTTTAGTGGAGGAAAACAATTGTGACATCACTTACGCGACTCTGGGATTTGTAGTCTTTCTAGTTGCATATTTTTCATAGTCTTATATTTCAACAGTTTTACGACAAACTGTGACTTTTTTGACATGGAAATGATTTTTTAAGATTGACAAACATCATATGTGTAATTCATGGAACAATTCAAACGGGATCGAAAGATACGTTTTCTCTCTCCATTGACTTCAATACATTATTTTTCCGAAATAAGGTCCCATGGACCGGAAGTAGATGGGCGTGATTTCACCACTCTATCCACGCCCCTGCTACCGCACCGCAGCTGCCTGCACTGTACAATCGCTGGAGGACTGGGCTGTCACTCAAAAACTATTGAGCATA